TGTCGGAATACGCGTCTAAGGACAAGTTAGGCGTACATACCGCCCTCGACGAACGTGACAGTGTACGGGAGATACTTGGGTTGTCACCGAATGCGGACTCTACGCTAGTGAGACGGGTCCTAGCCTCAATGGTGAAGACGGGTCTATTTCATCGCACGACAAGATCGACTTGATATATTCGAATATGCGTCCTGAATATAAACTTATGGTTCGACGCCAGGACTGCTTGACTCTGACCGAACTGATTAAGCGTGCCGAGGAGTACGAGGCCTACGTTAGGGATAAGAGCACGTTTCTTCCTCCACCCCCTCCGGCTATCTCTCTCATTCCTGAAACCGCGTATCACGGTCGAAGACGAGCTGAACGTCCGGTCGATAACGCCGCAGTCACTGCTGAGTCACCGCGCGAACCGAGCTCCCGGACCTACCCGCAGCACCAGAGGTACGACCACGCTAGGCACATACCGATTTAGCGACCCAAGGCGCAAAGCCTATCCGTGCCCAACTCCCACACGAATGTGAGAGGGGCGGCACTGGAGAGACCCGTTCACGTCAACAACCAGTACGTTTGCTGGAATTGTGACCGTACGGGACACTTGTTCCGCGATTGCCCCGAACCAAGAACATGAAAGTGCTTTTATTGCAAAACCAAAGGCATCTCGACCGCAAAATGCAATTGTAAGGCGGGAAACGCACACAGGATTCAGCTAAGGAGGGGGCGGCTGAGTCCAAATCCCCGATCCGGACCACAACCCCCCAAGAATGGAGCGCGTGGCTCCAACGAATATAAGATTTCCCTGTCTCGACCAATCACGATTTTGTTTCCCTCGATACAAGACCCTTCGTAACCGTAGAAATTTTCATTCGACCGTTTAGGGCACTCGTGGATACCGGCGCTATGGTCAGCCTCATTGGTGACCGTCTCGCAACGTTTTTACAATCCCGAGGGGTCCCGTCTATAGATAGCAATGTCGATATAAGAATGGCTAATGGCATGCTGTCTCACATCACGACTGGATACCGAGTTCACGGATTATTCGGCGAACTCGAATACGAGTGGGACGCGTTGCATGTGGCGAGACTGGCTTGCGATTTAGTTTTAGGAATATCGCAAGTTAACGACCTCGGCTTGGTGCGATTTGAACTCACTGTAGAACGAGGTCCTGGAGAATGTTCCGGACCCACCGACGACGTAGCTGCAGTGAGTAGGCTGTCGGTTGATCAGAGCGTGCGACTAGAGATGTTTTTAGCTAACGAACTCGCGCTCTTCGATAAGGTCAGCGGCAAAACCCACCTTATAGACCACGTGATAACTCTTAAGGATGGTGCCGAACCGGTGAAACAGCGATCGTACCCACTTAATCCGGCAATGCAGGATATTATTAAGAAAGAAGTCGAGACCATGCTTAAGGATGGGGTTATCGAGCCTGCAAATAGCCCCTGGAGCTCTAACATCGTGATGGTTAAAAAATCTTCCGGCGGGCTGCGTCCTTGTGTAGATTTGCGACGAGTTAACGAAGCCTCGGTGCGTGACGCATATCCTTTGCCCCGAATAAATTTTATCTTGGAGAAATTGAGGACGGCAAAGTTTATCAGCACACTCGACTTGAAGCAGGGCTATTGGCAAGTTCCTCTCTCGGAGACTAGTAGGCCAATCACTGTTTTTACCGTGCCTGGACTTGGTGTTTACCAGTTCACCCGGTTCACCGTGATGCCGTTTGGCCTCCATTCCGCTGGGGCTACGTTCCAACGACTCTTAGATCGAGTGATAGGCCCGGAACTTGAGCCCTACGCGTTCGCCTACCTCGACGATTTAGTTCTGGTATCTACTACTTTCGACAAACACCTTGACCTGCTACAGGAAGTATTCGGTAGGCTAAAAAACGCCGGATTACGACTAAACCCGGAGAAATGCGACTTCTGTAAGACGGAACTACGATACCTCGGACATATAGTGAATGATCAGGGCATAGGCACCGATCCCGAGAAGGTAGCTGCCATCAAACACTTCCCCCGACCTATCAACGTCAAAACCCTGCGGAGCTTCCTTGGTTTAGCCTCCTGGTATAGACGTTTCTTCCGTGATTTTGCCGCCACTTCTCGACCTTTAACTCAACTTTTACGCAAAGATTGTAAGTGGAATTAAGACACGGAGCAGGAGCGTGCTTTTGAATCTCTGAAAGACAAGCTCGTTACCGCACCGATACTTGCGTGCCCCGATTTCTCAAAAACATTCGTCTTGCAGGTTGACGCTTCCGATTATGGTCTAGGCGCGGCGCTCACTCAAGACAACGACGGGAAGGAAGCTGTAGTAGCGTATGCCAGTCGTCTTCTCACTAATCAGGAGAAGAACTACTCTACAACCGAGAAAGAGTGCCTGGCACTCGTATGGGCAGCGAAGAAGTTTAGGCCGTACCTCGAAGGTTACCAGTTCGTAGCCGTCACCGATCACGTGGCTCTCAAATGGCTGTTGCGACATCCTAAGCCTCCTTTATTTCCTTTATTTTATTTGTACCCGCAATTGCGCGCTGCGCGTGGCTTGCACGCTTTTTCCCGTCGTTGCACACTTACTTCCGACTCTTACTTGTCACGAAAGTTATTTAACTTATCCGAGCAATATCTGTAGGGCTTACCCCGTTACCCTGAACGTCTTACTTAAAATTGATTTAAGAAACCCCGTATCGACTCTGGTGTTCGACCGAGTCTAAATTTCCCGACAAGTTTACTTTGGTGGTTACCAAGTACAATAACGACCGAATCACGTTTTAGTTAAGTTTCCAATTAATTAGGCTTATTCGCATTCATCATAGGTTAGTCAAAATTCTAAATTTAACTTTACGTATTTTTCGAGTGGCTATGACGAGCACTTGTTAAAGGTAAGCTTAACATTGTAAGCATTATTGTTGTAATTAATATTCTGAGCCAATAAACTCGAAACTATAATTAACGAACACGTTAGAGTCCTGGACTATCTCATAGTAGGCTAAGCTATCTGGACAAATTTAAGGTGTGACAGAATTTCAGGTGAGACGATAATTACGTACTTAAAAATCTAATTTTGTCTCTCATCCCGAAATTTCGTCATAGTTGTATGCAGGAGACATGAAATTTCAGATGCTGCAAGAGGATTTGCCGCCAAATTGGGTCCAAAATTTGACGGACTCTACACGATTGTACGCCCTGAAGGAACAAATATATTTGGAATCCAAAATGAAAAAGAAGAAACGAAGAGATCCCACGTCAAAGACCTCAAACCCCTCATAGTCTAACCCCGAAACCTTTTGTTCCTATCTTTTTTCACTAGAGAATATATTCTAGCCTATATTTGATACATGTTGCCTGTTTGTTGTATGTTTTGCTTACCTTTGTTTTTGCTTTCAGGAATGTTAGAGCTGCTAAGTAAGGAAGATTATGAAACGCTTAAGCCAAACCAATGTTTAAATTATAAGTTTGTGAACTGCTTCATGAAACTACTAGGAATCCAGCCTAAAATTCGATCAAAAAAGGCGATGGCCTACCCAAGTTTTTTCTTTGAAATGTGGGACAGAGAGGGACAAGGGTACGATGGAGTGAAGAAGTGGGCAAAGGAAGACCCTTTAGGAAAGGATTTTGCACTTTTTCCAATTTTCATCAGACCGGAAAATTTCTCCAACGTATCCCACGAGGTCAGCACCACAACCAAATCCCACCCGAACATCAACGTGGGACACTGGGCCCTTATAGTTGTCCGACGAAAGAAAAAGGACACTGAACACCCTCAAGACCTGTCAACAGCAAAGCAACATTTTTGATTGTGGGGTATTCATATGTTTATTCGCAGAATACATCACGCAGGGAAAACCTTTACAATCGCTGAGGGAAGAAACCTCGGAGGAAATCCGTCAGCACGTGGTGCGAGAACTAAGATGATCAACCAACCCATGGGGCCCAGCGAAACAGCCCCACAAATCTCCACGGGTGATTGAAACTAAACTCACCCCTAAGACGGAAGCATTCTAAAAAAAATACGACCAATTGATAAAAAGCCTCCATCAGCTACTATCACTCGCCCCGAAGATGAGACCAACGTTAAAGTCCTGGCATTAGATCGCTCCTCGGCTCTACAAACCCAACCCTCCCTCATGATGTACAGTAATTGTGAGGTATATTACACCCAGTCGGGTGAGAAACAAGAAGTAGCGTCAGCTTCAGACTTCTTGCAAGTCATTCTCCGGAGTCCGGCTCACACTGCCTGCGGTAGCCGCCCCCTGTTGGTGGAATTTAATGAATTCATCGAAGCCATGTCACATGCAGTAAGCCCGTTTGCCCATTCGACCCACAAGCTCCAAACCCCCGACTTAGAGTCGACCTTAAAGGAGATGAAGAGCACGAGGACCTTCTGAACCTGTGGGGAGTGACCCCGAAGCAAGGTTCCATACACAACGTGTGACTGAAAAAAGAGAAAAAAGCTAGTCTCACAATGTCAGGAGGCAATTCAGATGTTAATTTCCTCAAAAGACAAATTACTCGATTAAGTTTCATACATAGGGCGTTGACATGTTGTTCATCCCACATAAGCTCAGAGTCCAAAGTATAGCCTAAGAGTTTGACAGAGTCACAAACAGAATTAGTTTTACTTAAGCTTGACATTATTTCTTGGGTTTTCATTTCTGGTCATTAAGAGCCAGTCTGTTCCCTGAAAACCATTCAGAAGCTCTTTTTGCGGAGTTAATGTATAAACATGTAAAACCATTTTGTTGGATAAATATGATATTATTAAATATTTAAGAGGTTTTATTAACTTACCTAATATGAATTTTAAAAAAGTAAACATTATTTCTATACACTACCCAGTACCCCTGTATATGCCAATCACCGGAGAGTAGGTAGGCAAATGCAAGATTTGATTTAGAATATTATTATTTCTCAACGCTATAGTGGCAGCTAAGATAGGGCTAGCTGTGATAGCCTGTCATTTGGTGATTTCCCTAAGATGGTAGGATCCTGGACAAATTACTCCAATTCATCGTAATAACAAATTATAAGTTTATTCTTCTAAAATAATGGAAACCCTTTATAACCTTCCTTTATAAATATTAACTCTAATATTTCAGTAACTAGGTAAGGCAACAGTCTTACTTGCTAAAATTCCTATGATTCACCTGGCTTAAAAAGGCTGTAATTCCCAGTTCCAGCACTATGATTGTTCCAAGTACTTGAACAATTTGTAGGCCTACCTAAGACTTGAACTCATCTGTAACAATTACAAAAAAATAACAGGTAAACTAAAGTAATACTATTTTACACGTAATTGAGGCAAACATAATTACTGTAATTAAAAGTGATTTTATAATTAATGAAATACCGGGTGTCAGAAAAAGAACTGAAACATTTTAAAGGCGAATACTGATACCAAATAAGAGACTATGTTTAATGTTTTATATATGTATTTAAAGCTTTAATTCTCAAGTTTCATTATAAACTTTGTATAACTCGATATGAGCACCATTAGTGGCCCGGCATAAATCTAAGCAAAATTTGACCTTTTCCCAGGTATTGGTCAGTACTTCAGAGGATGTTGCACCAACACATGTGACTATTCTCTGTCGGAGGTGATTCAGATCTCGAACCTGTACCGAGTAGACATGGTTCTTTACTGCGCCCAAAAGGAAAAAGTCCAGAGAAGTCATATCTGGACTCCTAGGAGGCCATTGGATGGACCCTTCCTTCCATGCCAATCCACCGATCGTCGAAACGAGTATCCAGCGCTAATAAAACTTAAGCATTTAAGCTTTAAATACATATATGAAACATTAAACATAGTCTCTTATTTGGTATCAGTATTTGCCTTTAAAATTTTAAGTTCTTTTTCGGACACCCGGTATTGTCAGAACATGTGCTTTATCATCCAAATGTGACATGGAAGTTGAATATTTAATCTTTGACAATTTCAAGGTTAATAACTGACATACAACCAAAAGACTACATACAATCATAGATAAAAACATGGCAAACAATATTATTTGCAATATAAAGCACAGAAATCAGTTTTCTTAAAATTAAAATGTTTTCTACTTACTATTTCACGAGTTTGTACAATTTTTAATGGGAATCAGCCAACTAAGAAAGATTGAGGAATCAGCTCATTACAAAATTAACTTTAGTTAATTGACAGCTGTCAATTACCTTGCAGTTCTGCCGATAAGGTGAAGTGTAATTTAGTATAACTAATCAACCATTGATCATGATATGCTATATACATTATATATTCTGTGAATTAAAATAATTTAAATTTAATAAACATTTCCCTTACATCAGTATATTTCTAAATAGCTAAACTTAAAATTTTAACACACCCATTTTGTATGCAGCAAAAGCAAAACTTAATTAAAACGAAAATCAGCTTGTATATATGTCTCATACAATTGCATTACATATTGACGTAAATAAGTGACCTGAAATAACAAAAGAAACGTCAAATAACACTTATATAATGTATTTACACTTATACTGTTTTCTCACAAGACGGTAAATACATATAAAAGATGGTAAGTGATGATCGATTTCAATCGGACACTACAATCATCATAGGACCCAATAGGCGAATGACAAGAAACAAAAATGGCGTCCCTTATATACCATTGGCCACCGGAAGTATCGGACGGTAGGTTTTAGCGAATTTCCCTATGGGGAAGTAGCACTGTAAGACCTAGGGCCAGGCCAGGACCGATTTACTTCCCGAGAGGCCAAAAACAAAATTCCTTCAAATATAGTCCGATTTTGATGGAATTCGGGTTAAAGGTGTAAGGTGGGATAAACTTGAATGAGTTCGCGAACCTGCATGATCCGATCATGGGAATGGGGTTTTACGGGGGGTTAAAGGGCGTCAACAAACAAATAATTTAGCATATGAAAATGTTTTTGTATGTTTATTGGTAAAGTAGAATATTAACAATTGTAAATTTAAAATCCCCATGTTATTCTAAGAGAATATTTTAAGATGTAGTTTGCTTGTTTATCCCATTTTAGTCATGTTGATCAAATTATTAAATGGAATAGAAAGTGATAAAACTGGTTAAAACTGTACAGGCTGGCCAGCACTGTCTTCACTGTCACTGACTAAATAAAACTGACTGAATCATAAGGTGTCTTCATATCTCCAGTGCCACCTGTATTTCAGTTTGTTTTGTTCTTCTAATTTAATACTTCTTTTATCTTTAGCTTGTCAATAAATGTGTGAAATATAATATTTGACTGGAAAGAAGTCTGATCATTTAAAATATTAAATGGGTCGAGTTTTTTTAGCTTTGTAGATGGTGAATTCTTCTTTAAAATCGAGCTTAAAACTGTTTGGTACTACTTCAACTATTTTCATGATCTTATCAATAGATGTGTAGTTGTGTGATTCCGATATAACTGAATTGCTGATGTTGTGATCTTTTAGGTATATGTTCTTTAAATCTTCTTTTGAAAGATCTTCCGGTTTGGCCGATGTTGTACTTTGGACAGTCGTAGCAGTTAATTCTATAGATGCCTGATTTTTCATAGTTGTTTACGGCGACAGGTTTGGCGTGGAAAAACTTTTAAGTGTGTTGTTTACGGAATGTGCGACAGTCGTATTGTTTCTATTAAATATTTTGGTGATAGCGTATTATTTTTCCATAGTATTGTATTTTAATGTATTTCTTTTCTGACTTTTCTTTGCTGATATTCATGTTCTGCTTTTTCTTTGGTATTATGGAATCCATTTGAGTTTTGTAACCGTTTACTCTGGCGTTATGCTTAATAGTGAAGTATTCCGTATTATAAGCTTCTTGGTACAAATGGTATGATAATAGTCTATGGACCATGGAGTTATATGCTGCAAGTTTGTGTAACCAAGGGTGGTTTGATGTTTTATGAATTGTGTGATCTGTTGCAGTTGGCTTTCGGTATATTTCAAAGTGAAAATTGTTGTTTGATTTCTTGATTGTAATATCTAGAACGTTGATTGCCTGGCTTTCTTCTCATTCTAAAGTGAACTTGAGGTTGTTATGGATGCTATTGAGTTGAGATAATATTGACTGAGCCTGTAATCTATTACCATCTACAATGTCGAAAATATTGTCAACATATCGGTGGTAAGTTGATATTTTAGCAAGTGTTCGATTGTCGGTCGTGAGTATATGTGCATTTTCAATGTGATTGAGGAAAATGTCAGCTATGAGGCCTGATAATGGATTGCCCATTGCTAGTCCTTCTTTCTGAATATAAAATTTTTTCTCGAATTCTAAATAGTTCTGGGGTAGAACAAACTTTAAAAGATCTGTGATTTCATCAATATCTTTTATGTTTAATTTATTTTGTTGTTTCAAATTGTTATGAATGATAGTTATGGTCTCGTCAATTGGTATGTTAAATGATCAGACTTCTTTCCAGTCAAAAATTATATTTGATACATATATTGACAAGCTACAAATCAAAGAAGTAAATAATTAGAAGAACAAGACAAACTGAAATACAGGTGGCACTGGAGAGATGACGACACCTTATGATTCAGTCAGTGACAGTGATAAGACAGTGCTGGCCAGCCTTTACAGTTTTAACCAGTTTTATCACTTTCTATTCAATTTAATAATTTGATCAACCTGACTAGTTTTTACTATTGTGATTTTTACAGTGTTTAAAAAAATCACAATGACATACCACAATGTATTAATACATTGATGATGTGGTTGCATACAATGGCCTGACGAAGTTCTAAGGAACGAAACTAATTGTCATACCAGCAACTGTGGTTGGTTAAGGTAATCATTTTACTTTATCATTAATATATTCCGACCAAGAGTCAAAATGAACAACATAAAATATATAGTGACAAATAATTATATTTGAAATCCATAATTGATTGCACACACCAATATTTGATAAAACACCAATACTTACGATGCAACTTTTTATATATATTAAGATACTTCTCTCTTCCCCTCTTAATAGTTTGCCAATGGCTGCTGACGTTAGTATTATCCTTTTTGTTCTAAAAAATACAAAATAGGTTTATACAATATCCAATAAAAAATTATAAAATAAAAACAATTCCATCAAAAAGCTCTTTTATTTGAAGGAATAAAACAAATATCCTGTTAATAAAAATAAAACAATTAATTAAATAACACAGTTTAAGACAAAACACTTTTCAAATTAACTGTATTTATTTATTTCCCAATAACATAGCCACTTTACAATGAAAAACATTCACAACTTGAAATGACAGGAAACAAAATAGTAATTGTACTTGGCGTTAGCCTTTCCTACATAATGATTGATGAAGAATAAACTTTGAAGTTGAACTACATGTAGAACGTATATCCAACTTATTCGTGACAATCGCTCAGTAGTGTACTCTGAACTCCAATCACGGGTACCGTTTCCATCAATTTAAAACGTGATAACCTGGGTGAGTAAAAACAATTAGGTTCTTAGAACTATTTTTGAGACTTAAATCTTTTTAAAAACTGCACTTTTTTCAACTTAAAACATATACTTAAATATGTAATTTTATTTTACCACCAAAACTCTTAAATCACTTGTATCTTGGAAACGGTAAGAGATAGAGATAAAATGCGAATTTTTTTTTAGATTGCATAGAAAAGGTTTCCATATATAATATATTTGGTAATATAACTTTAATTCCTCTGGGACATTTTTTGAGCTGGACGTAACTATTGATCTTTGCTCGACGCAAAACATCTCCGTAATTATTTGAGCTATTGAGTTGAAATTTGGTATGTAGGACGGTGGCAGTCTCTAGTTTGTGTTAAAAACAAATTCGGAATTGTGGATAGACCTCTGCGTCCCATGCGATCGTGTGAATTTTGAAATTAGCCACGTGTAAGGATATTTGAAACAATCATAAATGAAAAATTGGATTTTTTTTCTAAAACTCTTAAAGATATTTTTGTGATTTTTATAAATTTACTTGGTTTTAAAGTTACAACCATTTAAATTTATAAGTCGCCAACATTATGACTCGCACGCCTGACGCCAGTCACCACTACGATGTTTACGGCAAAACAGAAAGTGCAGAGTGTAATCTATGGTTTGAAATTTACTCAAATTTACTCAACTTCAAAAGATATAAAACCTTAAGAATAGAAAATACACTATTATAAGCAAATGAGTGTGATAGAAAAATATAGCATATTGTTATAAATGGTTAGTTAGAGGTGATGCAAACTTATAATTAAAACTCAATTTTAAGGTTGTGTTATACAATTTTTTTTATTCTCACCCATCTTCTAAATTCATGGCTTGGAGCTGTAAAAGTTAAAAATAATTGTGAGTTGTTAAAAAAGTAACCAAACGCTCTAATAATTAGTAATTAGAAAGACTATATACTCACTTATTAGAAAGCTTAATAACTCATCCTTTTAATGGGTTTCCTAATTCTTATTGATTGGTAAATCTTAGGGGTACCAGGTTTTAAGCTTGTATTTGAGACTTTGGTGTCTGAGCCTCTTGTTTTAGTTAACAACTTGGTCCAGGAATCGAGTACTTGTACTCAATACTTCTTCATTATGTAAAAGACTTTTTGCTTCATTGCCAAGCGAAAACCTGCTGTAGGAATTTGATGTTCAATGACCATAGTATCTATTAGGTATAATATCATACAAAATATATGAACACAACTATTAAAATATAATTATCTGTTATTAATAAAAGGTGAAAATTAAATTATTTATAATATAAAATTAACCAGTTATATGATCAATAACAAATGGTTGAGTTTTAAATAAACTGTAAATTATGATTATTTATAATCAGAATTATGAAGCTGATAGTTGATATAACTGGTAACTAATTTAATTGGTAACAAAAACTGGCTTTTGAAGACCTTGATTTTATAAAGATAATTTTTCCCAAATCGAATATAAGGAATACACTCAAGAAGTTTAATTAACATTAGCTTTGAATATTAATACAACTAGACATTCCATCCCCCATGTTATATTTGTAGCCAGATTCTTTTATCAAAATCGTCGTAGTTGATGTGAGCCACATACAGATTGCGTTGACATAAATTACTAAATTCTGCCGATTACACGATCGTTTTACCAAGACAAACTTAGGGAATGACTTATGATGAGTTATAGCAAACTGTTATGACCAATCAACCTGGTCAGCAAAAAAAAAAGGTATAAAATAAAACTTTATCCACTAGCGCATTCTGTGACTGGCTCACACAACTACGTTCTTTTTTAATAAAAAAATTGTAACAGCTGGTCCATATAGACGGGAAGTCTACATTAGTTAATGCAGTAGTTTTACCTTTTTGGTAGCCTAAGGTGTCCAAAATTCTATCTCCTGCGAGACGCGTTTCGCATTAATTACAATGCATCTTCAGTCGCTGTCATTGTCAGGTCTCAACATTGCCCACAGAAGTGGTTGTCACAATTTACAAAACATATAACACAGTTCACGAAACACATATTATTAATAATTGTTGTAATAATAATTGTAGGAGAAATGTTTACCAATACTTATGATGAAACTTTTTGTATATGTTCAGATATTTCTCTCTTCCCCTCTCAATAGTTCGCCTATGGCTGCTGACGTTAGTATTATCCTTTTTGTTCTAAAAAATACAAAATAAGTTTATACAATATCCAATTAAAAATTATAAAATAAAATACAATTCCATCAAAAAGCTCTTTTATTTGAATGAATAAAACAAATATCCTGTTATAAAATAAAAATAAAACATTAATTAAATAACACAGTTTAAGACTAAAGACTTATCACCAATAAGACTATAGCATATTGCTTAATTTTATATGGTACTAGCCTATCAAGTAACCTACTAAACCTAATTGTAAAATTGTTAAATATTTCAAAGTGTAATTGCTTGGTCACATTATTTTTTTACCCGCAATCTTTTATATCGAAAACTGTTGCAAAACTTATGACAGCTAGTCTGACCATACTACTGGACTGAATAATACGCGGGTTGTGCCAAAATAAAAGACATTGGTCCTATATGTTCAGGTTTTATTTGTATTTTGAGAATTTTATGACAATTGGACCAAAAATGAAATTACAACTTTTTATCGAGATTTAACATGGAGCTAATTCGATAATATACAAGCATGTTTGTTTAAAACCTTTTTTCTCAATTCCTGTGCATCGCAGGGAAAATCTACACATACTGTTAAAAAGATATTTGCCTGTACCATAGATGTGCAGAATCCCTTTATAAATTAAAATAAGCTAAAAATAAGCTCAAAAATGAGTTTAATTTTTTTTTATTTACATGGCCTTATAGGTTGTCATGCTGGTAACAAAATACAAAATATAAACAGAAAATTTAAAAAAATGAAAGTATTTCCAATTACATGTTATTTTAACAGCATGGGTGAAAATAGAAAAAATTTCACAGTACATAATTTTGGTCATGTTTTCAACCACAGGGTGGACTCTAGTAAATATTAAGTTTTTTACCATTATATGTAGTTAATTTGGTTTTGAATAAAATAAAATAATATTTGAAGAATATTGAATGTAGGAATCAGTTATTTTGTATACATATATGAAACTGATTTGTTGCAAATATAAATCATACTAATAAACATTGAAGTGATTTTATGCTTATTTGGATTTGGTTAAGGTTTGAACATAACTTATTATTTTGAGAGTTTTAAAATAGTTTTTCATCATGTATTAATGATAAATCAAATGGATATAAGAAATAGTGTGTATGTATTTAGTAATATATTTTATAAAACCACTTAATTTAATTGGTATGAACTAGGCATATATTTAATTTTTGTTAAGAATTAATTATATCTTAGGTTCCAAGACACACCATTTATCACAAGTTTGTGATAAATAAAACAAAAATAGTTTTGTGAAAAATTGTGAATGCAATAATTAAGCTATAGCTTTTGTATAAATATATAAAACTATTTTGTTGGATAAATATGCTATTGTTAAATATTTAAGTGGCTTTATTAACTTAATATGATTTTTTTAAAGTAAATATTATTTAGAAATAGTCAAACTTAAAGTTTGAATTCACTCATTTTTATTTTCGGTGGCAAAACCAAAACTAAATTAGAATTAAAATCTGCTTGTGTATACCTCATACCATTGCATTACATATTGACGTAAATAAGTGACGAGATTTTTACTATATTAAGCATCCAAACAGATTGATATATAGTGACAAATAATTCTATTTTATATCCATAATTGAGTTACAGACCAAAAAGTTGTATTTAATATCAAATAAATTTTTAAAATGGTGAAAATATCAATCAATTCCCTAAAACATGAAACAGGATTACAACAATAAATGCTTTAAGGAGAATGATGATTTTTTTTAGAAAAAGAAATTAAATAAATTATTACAATTATAACGTAAGTTTTATTTTTTATAATAATCAATAAGTTTTAGGGTATACCTTAAAGGTCTATACTATTATAAACACCATTCATTGTATGAAGTGAGTTATATAACAGTACCTAGTACAATGAGTCCACCATCACCTTATACATGACTAAATATGACTTTCCCACCTTTAACCCAGGTATAACTGTGACGGACTCATCGTCATTCCTTGTATCACTTTTTAAATAATTAATTGCATCAATGGGCTATTCGTTAAGAATTATTTATTATCATACTGTGACCTTATTAAGATTTATTTATCATATTCCATGCATGGTTTAAGGAATGTTTATTATTACCTCTTAAGGGGGTTTACTTATCCGAAGGTTCCTTTTAAATATACACTATGTGGAGAATCGCCTATTTTGACTCAAAGATATATAAGTCCTTGGCAGATGAGAGGGTTAGCCTAATTACTATAAAATTTCATGTTTCCCTCAATTTCCACAGCTTAGGACCTAGTTTTGAGTCATGTTATGTACTAAAATTTGGGTGACTTAGTTTCACACTAGTATGTCCATCTTGTGCAAATGATTTGGTTAAAAAGTAGTGTTAATCATAACGGTAAAATCCTGACCATAGGCGACAAAAAATTGTTGTTGGTCATGATGTTAATAATGGTTCCTAGGGTTAGGACACCTCCCTTCTAACCCTAGGTAGCTAATTTTAGTATACAGTCAGTGTTGGCAACTGTTTACAAAATATAAGTATTTGTATTAAAAGCCAATGAATGTCCTAAACAGCAATATCTTGTAATAATAATTAATAATGTATTACCAGGAATATTAATTCAATATGAATTAAGAGACTATTTAAATAAATTAATCACAAGTGAACATTAAAAATGTATATGGCTTATTTATTATTTATAGAAAAAAATTCAAACTTCAATCATGTCTATGTACTCAGCAACCTGTATTAGAAATCGTAATTCTCTTAGATATTGATATGTTAGTACAAAATAAATTTGTTACCTTTGAAATTAAGATGCAGTTGGCTATATATTTTGTCGCGACTGGCACATCCTCCTTCGATTCACCATAGGCTACATAAGAGTTAAGTTTAAACACAAACATAATGTCATCATTCCAATAGTTACAACTGAATATTATTCCGTTTCGCGTTTGCTCGGTAAAGTGGCAGTAGCTAATGATAACACAGCGGTCACTTCGAGGTTACATAATCGGCTAATTCTTATATTAGACTAATCAGTTGTTTTTGCAGTTCAATGAGTTGATAGGTTTTTATTGAAGTGCTTTGAAGATTAACTAATTATTGGTTCATCCTAGATTCAACTTGAATCTATAGCCCATTCATTTTATAAAAAAAACCCCGATGTGATGGTTAAACAACCTTTCTAAATTAGATGGTTGATAGAAATACACCGGTCAACGTTTTATTATATTTTAAGTATAATATTCTATCCATCAAATGAAATCTGTACTCAGATATAGCGAAACTTTCACACACCCTCACACAGAAACTACGTTTTACATCCATTACCCTAATATATTATATTTATGTAACAACTTTTTATTAACTGCCATCAATTATTGTTCAATTGGTTAGCTTTATAAAAAATCATGGTTATTTTTCAATTAATTGTTATTATCAGAATTGCTTTATACAAACCAGCCCTTTAAAAATATTTTAGTAGTTATGTTAAAATCACATCACAATATAAATAATAGTATGTGTATGGTGTATGGTATGTAAAGTTATGACGTATGAGATCTATTGTATGGTGTACGGTATGTACAGTATACAACGTATGGTGTACAGTATTTATAGTATACAACGTATGGTGTATGGTATGTATAGTATACAACGTATGGTGTATGGTATGTATAGTATACAACGTATGGTGTATGGTATGTATAGTATACAACGTATGGTGTACGGTATGTTCGGTATACAACGTATGGTCTACGGTATGTACATTATACAACGTATGGTATATGGTATGTACACTATACAACGTATTGTGTATGGTATGTATAGTATACAATGTATGGTGTATGGTGTGTACAGTATACAACGTATGGTGTACGGTATGTACATTATACAACGTATGGTGTATGGTATGTACACTATACAACGTATTGTGTATGGTATGTATAGTATACAATGTATGGTGTATGGTGTGTACATTATACAACGTATTGTGTATGGTATGTATAGTATACAATGTATGGTGTATGGTATGTACAGTATACAACGTATGGTGTACGGCATGTACAGTAAACAACGTATGGTGTATGGTATGTATAGTATACAACGTATGGTGTCTGGTGTACGGTGTGTACAGTATACAACGTATGGTGTATGGTATGTATAGTATACAACGTATGTGGACGGTATGTTCAGTATACAACGTATGGTGTACGGCATGTACATTATACAACATATGGTGTATGGTATTTACATTATACAACGTATTGTGTATGGTATGTATAGTATACAATGTATGGTATGTACAGTATACAACGTATGGTGTACGGCATGTACAGTAAACAACGTATGGTGTATGGTATGTATAGTATACAACGTATGGTGTCTGGTGTACGGTGTGTACAGTATACAACGTATGGTGTCTGGTGTATGGTGTATGGTGAGCAAGCGTGGACCAGCCCAGACTCCAGTAACCATACCTATTTAATGAGAGAGTCGCAGGTGTTTAAGTGGTGTCGGACAAGGAGAGTGCAGTCACCGCCTTACCTCCCCCCTCCCCCTCCCCCTACCTCAGCTATCCTACGTTAAATATTGCCAACACTTATGTTCCGACCGTAGTTAACGAATTGAGGCAATTTGTATTCAACTATGATACAGCAATTAATTACAACGGTTGACAATAAAATATCGGTTGACGAAAGTATAGGTTGTACGGTGCCAGTGTTTGTTTAGGGATAGAATCCAAGATATAAATTACAACTAGAATCTGGGTGAAATTTGTAGGCTGCAGACTAGAACAAGTATAGTGTTTTGTATTATTAATAGGAATCATGCCATTATCATCATTGTACAAATGTACAATGGTGGTTCAAGTCAAGTGGTCTATCAAGTGGAACTAAGTCCAAAACATTGTAACGCCATCATAGTTACATTAAATCTACATCAAATCATATACTAGTTGTTTTAATACCTGCATGTAAGTAATCCAATCCGTTGTTTTACGTTGCAACCGGTTTCAACTCCGTGGAGCCATCTTTAGTTGTACAAGGATAATGTTAACACTTCATTTGAAGGTCGTCAAAGTAAAACAAACAACTATAAAACTTTCAACACGAACAACGGACATTAACGTTTAACATTTCAAAAACATTAATATTTCTGAGACGATGAGCAACGCGTTTTTGTAACTATGACTGACTACCTTCACATGAAGTGACAACTTTGACTGACTACCTTCACATGAAGTGACAACTATGACTGACTACCTTCACATGAATTAACAACTATGACTGGCTACCTTCACATGAAGTAACAACTATGACTAACTACCTTCTCATGAAGTGACAACTATGACTGACTACCTTCACATGAAGTGACAACTTTGACTGACTACCTTCACATGAAGTGACAACTTTGACTGACTACCTTCAAATGAAGTGACAACTTTGACTGACTACCTTCACATAAAGTGACAACTATGACTGACTACCTTCACATGAAGTGACAACTATGACTGATTACCTTCACACGAAGTGAATTTTGATTAAATCATGCAACTAAATCCAGTACAATTGAACATAACGAAAATTACGTAACTACATTGAACTATATTGTATTTTGCCTATTACATGACACTGAAATCATTGCATAATTGTAACCTCGCCCAGCTTATTGAACTACAATTGAACTACTGAACGTCTCTCGAATCATGATACAACGAACCCTGTTCAAGTACTCCTATCCAAATTACTAAGAAAAGGTGTTGTACCAAAAAATTTAATAAATCCTGAGCCATGTAAATTTATTAACTTTATTAAAATTGCTAGCCTTGTCTAAAGTTTAAATGTCTACAAACCTCAATTCATCAAGAATAAGCCCACTTCCTAATGGCCTACGTAAGAACACCTCGAGCTTCAAAATCTAAAATTACCCCTTGTCACAAACCCACAGACTATGTCAATTTCCATGCCCCCGTTTGATTTTAAACCAAAATATTTTTTTTCCTAAAAGATTGATTTCCTGTTGAAATAACATTATGTTCAACGAACTTTTTGGACAGGGAAGGTGTATTTGAAGTTAGTTTTTTTAGTATAATGTTATTGGCTTGACATGAAATAGATAAATCTGCCAAATTTGAACAAAACCTTTCCACAAACAAGCAAAATACAACAGTTTAATCACCCTTCATGGAATAGCACAGGGTTTTGAAATTGACAGATTTTTAACCGTAACCATAAATTTTAAAACAATCCATTAAAGTACTAAATTGTTTGTTATTATGGCCATAAATCTTGTTTAGAAAATATTGTTATGGGTAAAAACGTTTTATGTGCTTTTAGGCTTATTTAATGGGTTTTGGGCGTGAAAAAATTAAAAACCAATTTTCACCCCATGAACTCCGTTTTCATAGCCTAATACTGGTTGGTGAACTCGTGCTAGAATAAATGTATTTTTACACTTTTTTTATGTAATCAAAGTTGGTTGATTTTTGATCTACTCCTAGTGAGTGCTAACGGACTTTTTGGTTTCTGTTGACTTCGAAATGAAAAATATAATTCGGTCCCAGTTATCGGTCTTACCATGAACCCTACGTTAATGGCTTATTGCCTTATGGGAAATTCGCTTAAAATACACAAAAATTGTACTCACCTTATATTTTTCCTTCACGTGAACACTTCTTAGCTGAAAATTATTTAAAACACAAACAAATTGATTACATTAAAATAACATTAATTTAAATCAAATACATTTTGAAAACATACATCAAAATAACATTAATGGTGTCCAATCATTCTCAATATTAATCTAATTTAGAACTCAGGCAAAATAAAACATGCATCCAAATAATGTTGTGTAGTAACTTTAAGGATTATTGCTTTTCCCGATCAGAAATTTAACATCAACTGAAGCCAAGAAAATAAGTGATCTGAAAGTGATATTGGCGTTCCGTAAAACTTAGCACTTTGCGTATTCGCTACCACTTCCCTGCCCATGTCATATCGATATGAAAATATTACCATCCTCTTGCGCCGGCCTTACCTCCACGGTGTTATGTTACCAATACAACATGCTGTTAGAGTAAATGTCTTTTAACTTTGTTATATTTTATAGTTAATGTAAAAATTCTTCTTTGAGAGAGGCAATTTTAATTGTTATTTTTTCCTATTCTATGTTATTATATGGGTAATTGTTAGATTAGTCAAATAATATAGTTTTTAGAATATTTACAGACATTTATTCGTCTTCGTAATCTATAACCTAAGCTCTCTCAAATGTATCTTATTTCGGAACTGTCCACAGTTTTTACCGACCCAATCTATCATAATACCTATAATGTTTAGACTATTGTGAGGATATCACCTTCAGTAAACTTATTGTGGATTAGTTCTGCATAAAATCCTGCATATAACTGATTCATACTAATTTAGGAATGGTTATTATTTGCATATAATAAGCTAAAAGGACCTCAAAATCCTACGAGTCAAATAAGACAACAAAAGCATGAAGTATTGTGTTTAATTCAAAATTTAAAATAGTATATTAGGCTTGTACTTTTGAAACATTAGTTTTGAAATTATGGGCAGTTGGGTGAAACAAACTCGTAAATAATGTAATTTAATCTACATTTGTTATATAAAGTGAAATTAATAGTGCGTTAGTGAGTTACCTCATTTGAAGTGAAATTTGTTTCGCATTAATTAGTTTACAAAACAGCTGATTAGTCAACATTTTAATCTGTCGACTTTTCTTTTTCCGAATGAGAACAAAACCAAACAAAATACAAGTTAAGATTCTGGTATTAGCGAATTTGCCTACAGGGAAGTAGTTATTGCCGTAAGTGGCACGGTAAGACCTAGCCCTGGGATGAGTAGGCCTATGTGTCCGTGAACGCGATAACTTGTGTAATTTTTGTACGATTTCGATTAAATTTGGCTTAAGTGAAGGGCGG